CCCAATCATTGGCTGTTAATCTAGTAGCAAGTTGTCTTTGTTCGATTTTTTTTGTCAAGTGCAAGTTGGTTTGTTTTTCTTACCTCTATTTTACTGCATTATCTGCCACCTTCTGGTTCTTGTTTCTGCTGGATTTGTCTGAAGAGAAATGCATCGGCTTTATTGTTTTTCAATACTGTATTTGTTTTCAGGTTGTAACATTTTTTACAAGAAATATTTTGCAAATATGCTTGTTTTTCGTTTGTGAATAAATAAAAAAATACGATAAGTTTGAAACCCTTCTCTTTTTAATATTCCCTACTCAAACTACTATTTAAAATTTAGAATGTGCTACTTACGCCTAGGCAAAAGCAGCTGATTGACGCTGAACAGCTTAGCCCTGTAAAGTATCAAGAGTAATGAATAAGAACATACAAAATTGACAGTAATATGCGTCTGCGTGAAAGAATTACCTGAGATCTTCTTGGTCTCTTTGCCGCAGAATTTATTGGAGACAATAGATGCAAATCAAACACAGTTTTGGCGTAGTATAGTCAGAGAGCGATAAGGGCCTCTAGTCTTACACGGCGTCCGTGCTAAACTGTAGGCCGTCTGTAATGACGGAATAATTGACGACAAAATATCTAGACACACATAATGAAACGTTTATTGGTCAAACCCCGGTTAATTTCGTGGAGCCATAAATGATAATACAGTCGCGGCCATCTGCACTGTAGAATTTAGTAGCTCTTGCCGTTGGAAGCGAGTTTTGCCACCAAACCACACTGGAAATGAGAGTTGCTCTGATGTCGGTTCAATTCTTTCGTTTGAATCTGGCGGTGTATGAGAAATTTAGATGATGGTGCCTAAAGCTCGTAGCAAGTCGACTAACCCTTTTCTGTTTTATATCCGTTTCCATCTCATTTTTAGGAGTGCATCTGATGTTGCAAATCGTTTTTACAGACTTGCACTGATTATATTTGGCTTATTATCAGCCGCCACCCATAAACAAGCAAAGAATTGTTATTAAAATTAAATGCTGAAAACCTGAGGTGGACGGAGTCGCCATCTTGGCTGTATCTCGCCAGTAGAGATCGGAAAACAAGGGCCTGTGCGAGGCTACTTGGCCAACTCGTTATTCGCAGTCCAGAGGGAAAACTTTTCGCACTGATAGTACTTTTCAACATAAACTTGAGGGAAGGGCTTCTCATGCCACCATGGACATTCAACCCTCTTTTAAAAAGAATTGTAAATGGCGAAACTCTCACTATCCAAAGAAAGGCCTTGTAGTAGTACTTTGAAAGACAACCTGGTACCATGCACAAGGGAATCTTTTTGACCTCTTCACCTAAGGATTTGAGGAGTCCAAACACACACCTGTAGCACAGAATGTGAGTACTAGGGCAGCTGTTTGGTCGGTAACATTTAGTTGGCAGGACAGTCTAAATAGTACGGATGTGCACTTTATGCTTCCGCATAATCGCATAATTTTCCAAACTTTACTGAAATGGACGGGGAATCAACTGGTTAGCACTGTTGTCACACCTCGATCCGAATCTGAGGAGCATAGAAAAATCATAATTTCTCAAAATCGCAGCATGGAGGCATTTTCGCATAATTTGAGCATAATTGCAAGGAAAAGGCGTAAAAACGGTTGTATATTGCAATTCTTTTTGATATTTTGCGCATTTTACTGCAAATTTTGGTCCGACATTTGAAATTGTCTGCGACTAATTTTGTTCTTTCCTTCCATACCGCATACCTATATCAAGGTTACTGTTTGCACTAATGTGAACGCAAAAAGCATATAAAAGCATAATTTGGAAGGAAAAGCAAAAAAAACAAAAAGCAAAAAAAAATCAAAAAGCAGTAACATTAGGAAGGAAACACCAAAAAGCATAAAAACGCATAGTTGGGTTGAACACGTGGCATACAGAGGGCATATTTGAAAAATTTTAAAGCATAATCAGCGCATAAAAGTGACATTTTTGAGATCATAATTGACAGTTTGAAAATGCATAAAGTGCACATCCTTACTAAATAGAAGTAAAGTAGGAAGATATTAGACGATAGTCCAAGGCGAGAAAGTTATACTGACATACTCTGTCAGCACAGGTACTCACCGAGTTGCCTGCACCAGAAGAAGCCATGCACTTAACGAGGTTGCTGCCAGGAATGCATCCACGCAGAACTTCATCCATGTTGTATTCCACGATGAGGTGCTGGACATCCACACTCTTCGAGAAGTTACGCACAATTTTCAAGTTGAGATTTTTAGGAGACCTCATTCCCCCTTTAGTGACGCCAACTTCCATCTTGGGGTAGTCGACGAAACGGTACCTACCGACGGCCCTCCGCATAAGGCCCAGCTCCGAACACAACCCCAATTTTCCCTGAATGCTCACAGTAGCCTTGTGAAGGGGTGATTCGACGTTGTCTTCTAAAGACGCCTCTTTAGACCAGCTGCAGTCGATGGCAACACAAACCATGCGCAACTGTGCAACAAGCAAAACCAACACATTAATACAGGAGTACAATAACATACGGAAGAGTGAAAAGGCCGGCCACTTGTTCCGTTAACCTCAAAACGACGCACGCACGCAAAGAGAACGACAGCAAAACTAACCTGCTTAAAACTCATCCAAACACAGGACACACGGGCAGACCTTCCGCTGTCGACAGCATCAAACGCACCTCAACGGGTGCGACGAAATTTACGACAGACTCGACTTGGCTGTCCTTCAGAAACTTGACTCTAAGACCTTCGGGGACGGGGATTTTGAGGTAAACATCGACGACGTTACCACGAGGAACCACCTCGCTCCAGGAGAATGCGCTTGACAGCCAATCCATGTCAAATACTCTACTAGTCAAAATCAAAAACAAGGGTAAACACGTCAGCTGCAGCACAGGTCACAGGTGTCAAGACGGGCTAGCTGGAGCCGAAGCTGGAGTGAACTGAACGCTGTCAGGGTCAGGACCAACTCCCCCGAACTCAACCCGTAATTCTCTTGGCCGCCACTAGGGGCGCTGCTGCAGCGGTGCCTAGCGCACCTGCCAGCGCGGAGTGAAGCTACTGGCGGGACAAGGAGAGGGGTCGGGGAGAAGGGGCCGATGGCGAGCTGCTTCGCCTCAACTCGCCATCAAGACAAAACTAGACCACAACCAAATAAAAAAAAGGAAACTAAAGGAAGCGGTTTTCGTGGCCGTGGCCGGTGCAGTGTTACTTACCAGACGGCCGGAAACCAATGGTTTTATTAATGGAGTCACCATATGGGATTTCAAATTTCCCCTCCTGGCACGTTGGTCAAAATATGTGGTGGTGGTATAGTCATGTCGCCTATCGAAAAGTATTCTACAGAGGTCGTTGTTGTGTTGTGACGATCTATAGGCGAAGGAAAATAGAATAAAGGACCATTATCGGAAAAGAAAATCCAGATATCAACGTAAGTGTCACATATGAGACTCGTGAGAAATGGGAACGTCGATTCAACGATTCAACGTCGAAATATCGAAAAGATGTGGATTTTTTTTTTGGGGGGGGGGATGACGGTTTTTCGAATGTTTCGACGTCGAGTCTACTTCAAATCGACGTTGGAGAAAACTCAATTGTCACTGGGAGATTGATGGTAGAGCAGGTTGATGCAGCATAAGGCCAACAGGAGACTGCAGGCACTCAAAACCCAGGTAATCATAGCCAACTGCTTACCTTCCAACGAAATGCCGTCGCGTCGTGAGCCTGTGGGGTGAAGGGCGAACTCTGGTGGCGAAGAACAATATGAGATGCAGTGCAGCCAGCAAACAATGACAATTTTACCCAACGTACTGCCCCAGTAAAAACTAAAGCAATTTGACCTTGGATTCCTCCAAAGTGATTTGGTAATTTGTCTGATGATTTTGCTGGTACTGTACTTACCTTTACGGTATTTTAATAGCTGTTGAAACCTTAAGATATTTAGGAGATCGTGGCAAGGTTGGTTAAACATATCGATGATCGTCCTCCCTCTGCTCGTTTGCCATAGTTTCTAGAAAAAGTAATTTGAAAAAAAAAAAAATTGAACTATTTTGAAGAAGAATAATGTTTGCTTGCAAGTGGTGAAAACTGTGCTATTTTGTGCTGTTATCAACAGATGTACTGCAATTAATGCGTAAAAT